CACACACACACACACACACACACACACACACACACACACACACACACACACACACACACACACACACACACACACACACACACACACACACACACACACACAACACCGCCACCACCATCTTGCATCAAGCGGTGACGGGTTTGAGGGCGACGATGGGGTCGAGCTGGCCGATGAAATACAGAAACTCTCGCTCAAGCGGCTGCAGCGATGACGGTAGCGGGGGGGGGACGAGCGTGTGGAAGGTGAAGGCGGAGAGGAGGGAGGGGTGAGGGAGGGACAATTCGCAAACACTTACATACGCACGCCTGCAGATTTGCGCGCGCGCACACACACACACACACACACACACACACACACACACACACACACACACACACACACACACACACACACACACACACACACACACACACACACACAACACACGCCTACTTCGTAGTTCTGCGCATCTGCGGATATGAGAGAGACGTCGACGACATATGTGGACGGGCGTACTGATGGCGATTTCGTATCAATCTGAGATGACACGGAGGAGGAGGAGGAACCCAGTGGTGGTGCGGGCATGGGGTCAGACTCATATTCAGAGCAACAGAGACACAACCATGGAACGCACTGCACGCCTTTTAGACACACACACGCACACGCACACGCACACGCACACAAACACACGCACACAAACACGCACACGCACACAAACACACGCACACACACACGCACACGCACACACAAACACACACACACACACATACGCATGCCGGACCGATTGGAAGATGCGGCAGTGCATGACGCCCTGATAGGAGAACACAATGCCAGACTCATGGACACGACGCGTTACATTCCTGCGGTCGCAGTCGAGTGGGGTGAGGGGTGGGACGATGAGACACGAAGTAGAAGTGCGCGCCATACAAAGAAGTAGGCAGACCGAGATGCGCAAACTACACACACACACACATTCACACACACATACATATTCACACACACATATTCACACACACACACATATTCACACACACACACGTACACGCACACACACACGCATACACACACAACACCAAGCAGAGGCACCAACCTGAATCCCAATTCGCCAAACAGCGTCTCCACCTCCTTTGAGCAGAAACAGCGGACCAACGTGCGGGAGGACACGCGGCCAGATGCAACCGCGCTCCACGCCCCGCCATACACCAGGTTGCGGATCAGCGACCTGCGTGATGAATGACAAAACAGCATCATAACCGGGAAGGTGCAGAGATGTAGAGGTGCAAGTTGGTTCAGGGCACACAGCACATTCGAACATGACACCACAAACACACGCGCGCGCGCACACGCATAACCTGACCCTGGTCGCTCATCATAGCGTTCCAACGTCACAGCAACGGGTCGGCCATTTTTCCCGGCAGTGTCTGTGATAACGTGCTCTTACGGTGAGCACACGCAACACGACGACAGTCACACGCAATCGCAGCAAGTTCGCTCACTCACATGCACACATCTTACACCCACACACAACCACACACACACACACACAACCACACACCAGCTTGGATGTCAAAGACTCGGCGCGAAAACTGTGTGTATCCTCCCAACCCGCCATCGCAGATGAACTGCAAGCGATCTATGAGCGCAGCTCGAGCCTCTGCAGACACGTCCACTGCCCGCGCCATCCACTGTCGCTCCTGTCTTGCTTGTTGCTCCATGCGCTCCCGCGACTGTGCATCATCCACCATACCACCGACGCCCACGCCTCCACCTCCACCACTGCCGCCTCGCCCAGCCATGATCCAGGCACCACGCTGCGTCTATATCTCTCTAGCTGTGGATGTGCCTGCCTCTGCTCTGCTCGTTCGGTTGGGGCCCAGTCGCGATCCGCAGCACCGGCAGAGACAAGAAGGTTGGTGTTGTTGGTGCGTCACCCTCTCCTCAACATCCAGTGCTTGCTGAAATTCTACTCAAATCATTCAAGAACAATCGACAATTCCGGCACAACAGCAAAACAAAACATCAACCCGTGTGGAGCTGTGTCCTCCTTCCTTGCTGCCTGCCTTCCTTTCCCTCTCTGCGTGCTTGCTCGCCCTCTTCAGGTCGTCAATCACCTCCGCCTGCACACATGGTGGTGCTGTTGGCTGCTGCGACGTGGAGTCGATGCGGACACCAGCTGCCGACACGGTTTGGCCGGCTGTCCCAGCGAGCTGGTGCCTCCCTGCTCGGTGCCCGCGCCCTTCACCCATCCCGAGGAACCACGCTGCAACAGCACGAGCAGCAGCCACAACAGCCAGGCGACGGCGGCTCTTCGCACCACGCCGGCACCGACACGTTGCAACAGGCACAAAGAATACGTGCTGGCGATGCTGGTGCGCGTGCTCATGCAAGTAAAGGGCCGGCAACGTCGTGTGAGCTGCGCATAGCCACGTTCAACGTGCTTGCGCCGTGCTACAAGCGCCTGCCTTCCACGCAGCTGCGCGAGAGCGACTTTCCCTCGCTGTACCGCCCCAGAAACGCAGCCATCCTGCGCATGCTGCGGGAACAGCGCGACTTGGACGTCATTGCCCTGCAAGAGTTCTGGTTCCACCACGACGTGCAGTCCATGTACATGGCGGCGCTCGGCTCCGGGTACCACGTGCACTGCTTGCAGCGACCCAAGGGGCGCGACGACGGCGTGGTCGTGTTCGTGCGCAACCACATCCAGGTGGTGGGCACGCGCCGGCTCCACTTTGATGACAGCGGCATGCGCGTGGCGCTCCTGCTACACCTCCGCGTGCGCGGGTCCACGCCAACGCCCATTGCCCCGTACCTGATCCGCGGTACCCATGCCGAGGCGCTCGACAACACCAATGATGCCGACATCGCCGCCGTCCCGCACCAGCCGTGCCCCGCCGGCGACGGCAGCGTCGACCTCATCTTGGCCAACACGCACTTCTCCTTCCCGCACACGCAGCAGGAGCACGAGGCGCGGCTGCAGCAGGCCCGCGTGCTGGCGACGAGCGTGCAAGACTTTGCGCGGGAGCAAGGCGTCGGCACGAGTGTCTTGACGGGCGACTTCAACGGCAACGTCAACTCCCGCTCCTGCGCCCACCTCATCAGGTGTGGGTTTGCGTGTCTGTCTGTCTGTCTGTCTGTCTGTCTGTCTGTCTGTATGTATGTATGTCTGTCTGTATGTGACTGTGACTGTGGTGTGTGTCTGTGTCTGTATGTCTGTGTCTGTGTCTGTGGTGTGTGTGTGTGTGTGTGTGTGTGTGCCTGTCTGTATGTGTGTCTCTCTTTCTGTCTGTGTGTGTCTGTGTGTCTGTGTGTCTGTGTGTCTGTGTGTCTGCCTCTGTGTGTGTGTGTGTGTTTTCTCCCTCTCTCCCTCGGTCCCTCTCCGCCTCTCTTCCTCTCGGCCTGTACACTGCTTGATGTATGCTCACACCTGCACCCCCTCAAATTCTCTCTCGCGCACAGCTGCGGATACGAATCGCTCTTCCACGCCGTCCACGATCGCGAGCTCTCCGTCACACACAGAACACACAAAGGTGCTTCTGCTCCAAGAGTTGGAGTGGGAGTGGTCGTGATCGTGCCCCCTGTGCCTGCGTGCTACCTCGTGTTTGCACACGCACATGCATGTCGAACGCAACACTCACAATATTTCTCCTTGCTCAACACACACACACACACACACGCATTCACACACACACATGCACACACGCATTCACATACACGTCCAAGGCGAGGATGTTGGTGTTGACTTTGTGTTTATGCGCAGCGATGACGGCGCGTTTACCAGCGATGCAGCGTATGCCCTGCCCCAGCTCTACCCAGACCAGGTGTGTGTGTGTGTGTGTGTGTGTGTGCGTCTGCCTCTCGTCTGCTTCTCGTCCGTGTCTCTCTGTCCTTCTGCCCCTCTTCCTGTCAACACTGAAGATACCGTCCTCACCCACCGATACCGACACCTCCATCCCTCTTCTGCCCTGCCACCCATTAGGCATGGCCAGAGGACTTTGACTTGAGCGATCACAGACCCGTTGTCGTCTCGCTCACTGCACACTTCAATCAGCCACACGCCCAGAGCCAACAACAGCGGCAGCAAACGTAGCGGTTGCTGCTTGCTGCGGGCTGTGGCTCCTATTGCTGCTTCTTTCACTGTGTGTGAGTGCGTGAGGCGCGCTGGTACACGATTTGTTCACGCTGTTCCGTTTTTTCCAGGCTTGCTTCTCTTCCGCTTTCACTGCCGTTGTTGTTGCGTTGTGCTGCTGACCCATTCGTTAACAAACAACCCCTCTCTCTTGTTCATCAACAGGTGGTGTTGTTGCCTCTCTCTTTAGTCAGGCAACATGCCATCATTCACGGCGCTTCACGCCATTATCGCCCCTAGCCTCCCACCAACTTGTTTTCTTGCCATGTGCTGATCGAGTTCGAGTTGTGTTTCTCTTCTCACCGATGTTGTACGTGGCCCCATCTTCCCTTCCCCTTGCCCCTCTTCCGAATTCCTGTTCTCTCTCCATTCGCTTGCCTCTCTCCCTTCCATTCTCTCTGTTTCCTTCCTGCTTTCCTCCATGCTGACACGCAATCGTTTATCTGGTCTTTGACAGTCTAAATTGAACCTCTCTTACTCATGAATGCATGGGCCCCGTGCAGCCATGCCATGCGACGCAAGCCCTTTGTTGCATCGCTCGCGCTCGCACACACACACACACACACACACACACACACACACACACACACACACACACACACACACACACACACACACACACACACGCACACACACACACACGCACACACACACATTCTCTCTCTATGCGTCTCATTCACTCACACACTCACACACAGTCTCTCTTCAGCACAATCAGTACATCCACATGTTTCCGTCTGTGAGGGCCCTGTGCAGGATGCGGGTGCCCACAAAGGTGACAACAGATAGCGGCAGACAGCGCAGGTACAGCTGTGCATCCAGTCGCTTCCGCGCGTACGAGAGACTGAGTTGCACGCAGCGCTCAAACGATGAGGGGTGGCCACCACGGGCGCCACCACCACCAACCATCATGCGGAACAGGCAGAGTGACGCCTCGCACGCCGTCTTGTCACGCCCGTCAAGGCAGCTGTCCTCAAACCCATATTGCAGCAGCCGCACCACACAGTCGTTCGTCTCCCACGTGTCATCTGCACACCACACCTCCTCGCCACTTCCATGCGCATCCCCTCTCTCAACGCCGCCGCCGTGGCCCGTTCTGGCGCGCACGTGCTCCTCCTCTGCGTCACTCAATCTGTTGACGGGCGTTCGCGTGCCACACGACACACCGCGATGATAGCGGGTGCTGTTGTGGCTGCTGGCTCGGGAATGCGAGGTTGCTGGCGCTGCTCTGTCGCTTCTCCCAATACCACCACTGCAATCGCCACCATCCCCATCGCCACCGGTCGCTGTGTCGGGCTGTGGGAGGTGGCCGCCAAGCCCGCCTGGGAGAATCACGCGCACGGGCGTTTCGTCGAGAACAAAGCCTGCGTCGCACAACACGGCGTGCATGACACACGCCGTCACCAGCCGTGCCGCCACATACGCCCTGCCTCGCTCAAGGTTGGTGTTGGCGCGTAGCAGCGACTCACGCAAGCTCTCATCTGCATCGCCGCCACCGTCACTGTCATCACCGTCACCGCTGGCATGACGATGAGCAGGTGATGCTGTTGCTCGTCGTGCTGTGGCGTGCGCACATGCGCTTGTGCCCTTCTTGCTGCCTTTTCTTCCGCCCCTGTCGTTGCCAGTGATGTTCGGAGTAGCATTCGTAGCATTCGCCTTGGAACCAGGTCTGCTAGGTCTCGTTGTTGAAACGGAAGCTGCGACTGCTGCTGTAGTTGCACCACCCGTTCCAACCGCGGCTGTCGGCACTGGTGGTGTTGTTGGCGGCGTGGACGTCAGTGTTGCTGCTGGTGGTGCACGTGCAGGTGTCCGCAGCCGATGGTGTGGCGAGCGAGTGCTGGGGAAGTGGGGGAGGATGCGAAGGGGCTCGTCGGTCAAGAGCTCAAACCCGCGCACCAGCGCCGCCAACGCCGCCACCCAGTCGTCGAGCGTGTACGATTCGGGGTAGCGCAGGGCGGCGTGCTGCTCCGGCAGCGCCCTCCACACGGCAGCAAGAAAGACACGCGTGTCCTTTGCAGTGTAATGGGCAACGCCTCGTTCAGCCATACGGCACGCGCTGCGCACAACCTGACTGGCGTGCTGAGCGAGGAATGTGCGTGGAATGCCCTCAAAGTGGGGCAGCTCGTCTGCCAGCACGCGCGTGCAGTTGTCCAGCAGGCGCATCTTGGCCTCTGGTCGCTGGAAGGGAATGGAGGCCTGGATGCACGCGCACACGTGCAGGAGCTGTGCTTCGTTGAGCCAGGGCGCAAGCACGTCCATGGCCACGACGCAGCTGAGAAACTCGCTCAAGCCAGGCGCGGAGGTGTCAAACGCAAGCGTGTCGCCCACCTCGCGCCCGAAGACCGTGTAGCAGATCCGCTGGGCCACGGCACGACGCGCGCGCGTGGAGGACACAGAGGGCCAGGAGGCCATTGGTGCCTTCGTGTGCTGACGGGGCTCGTCACTGGCGGTGGCGTGATCACCGTCATTGCCGCTGTCGTCATCGTGGTCCAGGCGGATGCCATTGCTCCACCACGATAGAGCGCGCACAAGCGTGCTAACAACCGGCAACCGGCCCGCGCTCGTTTCCAGGGAGCTTCTGCGAGAGTCGATGATGGTAGTGGTGGTGCTGGTGCTGGGCTCGCGTGGTCCGGCCACGTGCTGCCCGCGCGCGAATGCGTCGCCGCTGCCGTTGCTGAACCACCCGCTGCTCGCGGTGCATGTGCTGGTGGCACTGCTGTTCCCGCCGGTGAGAGCTGTGGCGGAGCCGCTGTCCCTCCTGGCGGGCGATGAGGTACCTGCCACACCTGGTCCCCTGTCGCGTGCGTGCTTGCGGGACTGTTGTTGGGGCGGGGGCGTGTGTGGGCGCTTGATTAGAGGCGCCCACTCTGCCTGTCGGTCAAGGCGCATGTCGACACCAGCCATGAGGAGGACGTGCTCGGGGCTGCTGAGGGCGTTTCGTCTGTGCTGTAGGCGCCCTTGGTGTGGGAGAAGCTGCGGTCTGCTGACGAGCCGCTGCACGACGACATCGAACGACACATCAGAGGACGACCTGTGTTGCCTGGTGAGCAAGGTCGTGCCACCGTTGCACCCGCGCGCAGACAGCGAGCCGCGCTCCGTGACAGGCCGGCCGTACACGGGTGTGGCGCTCCGCGATCGCCTCATGTCCTTGTCGACGTCAGACTGGCGAGGCAGCGGGAACGCTTGTGCTCGGTGCAGAAACGGCAGCAGGTACGGTGGAATGCCGCCCTCGGCCCTCAGCTGGACAATGTCTTGAAAGATGGCGGCGATGAAAGAGAGTGGGCGCTTCTCAACGTCCTCTGGCAGACCGTCAAGCAGGTGCTGCATGGTGTGAAAGGTGCGATGCGCGCCGCTCGTCGACACAACCACCAGCTCTGCCATCTTGTAGACGGCATTTGGTGGGACTTGCACGCGCAAGGCGCGAAAGGCCCGCGCCAGATCTGCGGCGATGGTGAAGAGCTGCTCCTCGTTTGCCGCGTCAACAAACATGAATGCGGATGGTCGTCGTGCCATGGTGTATGTTCATACATGCACTGTTGCTGTTGCGAAGGGGGAGGAGGAGGAGGAGGAGGAGGAGGAGGAGGAGGAGGAGGAGGAGGAGGAGGAGGAGGAGGAACACGAGAGGCGGCGGCGTCCACTTGTGGGTGAAGAGAGTGGGGGTTGCTCGTATGTTGGGCCTGCTGTTGAGGGGAAGGAGAGGGGCAAGGGGTAATTGGGACGACGACCCGGGGCTTCACGATCGTTACAAAGAAGAGGCAGGTGTAGCTCAAGTCGCGAGGCTGAGAGTTGTGTTCGTCGTGACGAGTGGGAAAATGACTTCATCCTTCGCTCGCGCACACTCAGGTCGCGAGCCTGAGCGAGATACGTGAGTTGCTCTTTCTGGGAGTGTGTGTGTGTTCGTGTTTGTGAACGAGTGTGAACTGCGACCTTGACGCAAGCGTAGGTGCTCGAGTGGACTTTGGTTGCATGGTGACACAAACATCTAAACGTGCGGGCAGGTCACCTGCCCGCACGAGGACATCACAGGGGGATTGGTGTTGGCAGCTTAAGAGCTTGCTCGCTTGCTCGCTTGTGCTTTTTGGATCTATGTGGGGGCGCCCACAACTCGCCCACTTGCTCTGAGGTGCTCACGTCACTTTTCAAGGCGCATCGTTGAACGTTGACGCGTAAGCAGCCCAACGTGGTGTATCATCGTCTACGCGAATGATGCGTGTCAAACTCTTGCTTGCCTGCTGTTTGAAAGAGTTGGGGTGTAGGTGAGATAATTGTTAGAAGATTTTCATTATTCTTCCCGACTTTGCTTGGCGCCCTGCTTCACAAGAACAACACAACGTGTGTGTGTGTGTGTGTGTGTGTGTGTGTGTGTGTGTGTGTGTGTGTGTGTGTGTGTGTGTGTGTGTGTGTGTGTGTGTGTGTGTGTGTGTGTGTGTGTGTGTGTGTGTGTGTGTGTGCTTGCTCTTGTGTGCGCTTGCTCTTGTGTGTGCTGAGAGGAGAAGGGATGACTGCCTTGTTTTTTCTTGTCGACAAAGCAACTCCCTACTAGGTGACACAAGGCAGGCCGCACACGCACCAGTGTTGTTGTCGCTTCGTGACTGCTGTTGCTGCTGCTATTTGACCACTGCTCGCTGTTGCCCTTGGCCATTTGCATGTGCTAGGACAAGATGATGACCACAATGTACCTGGATCAGCTGCTGGACAGCATGAAGGCTCTGCCGGCAGAGCTGCAGCGGTCGTTCCGCATGATCCGAGAGCTTGACGAGAAGATGGCGCAGGCCAAGGCAGAGCTGGAGCGCGACTGCGCGCACTTCAAGGAGAACATCGCCTCCCTGTCTGTTCAGGAGAGAGAAACCAAGCTCAGGGATTTCAGGGTATGTTTTGTGTATGTGCGTGTGTGTGTGTGTGATGGGTGTATGTGTGTGTGTGTTGTGTGATGGGTGTGTTGTGTGTGCGATGTTGATGGTGTTGGGGTGGCCACATATGGCCAGTAACGCACGCATGCGCCTCCTCTATTGGTCGAGGGATGAGAAACGTTGCTCATGGATATGTGCACATTTGTTTGCGGTGCTTCAGGATCGGTTTGCAGCCTTGAAGCAGACGAGTGTCGAGAAACTACACATTGCAGCACAGTCCTACGAGGCGGTGAGAACACAACGAACGTTTCAGTATGTGTGCGTGTGAGTGTTTGTTTGTTTGTTTGTTTGTTTGTTTGTTTGTTTGTTTGTTTGTTTGTTTGTTTGTTTGTTTGTTTGTGTGTGTGTTTGTTTGTTTGTTTGTTTGTTTGTTTGTTTGTTTGTTTGTTTGTTTGTTTGTTTGTGTGTATTTGCGCGTGTAGATGTTCCTGCGGGTTGACATGCCCATAACATGATTATATGCGGGTATCATTGTGTGTGTGTGTGTGCAGGTGGAGAAGCACATCCAGGAGGTCGACAGTGATTTGAGCGCCTTTGAGGCGGAAGCAAGGCAGCGTAAGCGTACATGTGTATGTACACGTGCGCGCGCGAGCGTATGTACCGTGTATCACAGCACTCGTGCTTGTGTATTGTCTGTCGATCTGCGTTGTCGATCATCCTTGACAGCCCTCACCATTCTGCTTTGGGTCAACTGTCTTGCTGCTGCAACGTCAGAGGGTACACCCGTCTTTCATGTGCAGGAACCTGCTGGACAGTACGTTCTCTGCACCGTGATTGTGTGTGTGTGTGTGTATTAGCGTGCATATGCATTGTGTAATGGTGTACATGTGTCCACTGTGTCGTGGGACAGGGCGAAGAGTGCTGTTGTCACTCACTCTGTTGAACCTGCACTTCCTTTTCTTGCTCATGTGTTGCGCACACCACAGGGAGGACCTTCCTGTCGATCCTAACGAACCGACTTACTGCATCTGCAACCAAGTACAACTGCTGTGCATGTGTGCATGTTTATGTGTGTGTTGGATGCGTGCGCATGTGTGTGTGCATGTTTATGTGTGTGTATGTGTGTGTTTATGTGTGTTTGTGTGCATGTTTATGTGTGTATGTCCTCCAGAGGCCGTGCGGTGTTCCCTTGGCGTTTCGATTCACACCCCATCTCCTTTTCTTCCCAGGTCTCATACGGCGAGATGATTGCTTGCGACTCAAACGACGTATGTGCTGCTCCTTCCATGCACGCGCGCATGTGTGTGTGTGTGTGTGTGTGTGTCATGACCCCTTTCTGATTTTCTCGTGCGAAGTTGTGGGCTGTTGGTGTTCTCATGTCCGCTGTCGTTCTCACGTCGCGTTGTTTGTTGCTCCGTCTCGTCGTCTGCAGAAGTGCCCACTGGAGTGGTTCCACTTTGCCTGCGTGGATCTCACCGAGCGCCCAAAGGGCAAATGGTGCGTTTTGTTTTGTTTTGTTTTGTGTGTGTGTGTGTGTGTGTGTGTGTGTGTGTGTGTGTGTGTGTGTGCATGTGTGCGTGCGTGTGTGTGTGTGCGCGCGCGTGCATGCGTGTGTGTAGGTAGGTATGTATGCATGTGTTGCTGGAAATGGTACATACGCTTGTGCCCATGTGTCGTTGGGGCAGCGTATTGGATGCTGGTCCCACTCACACGCCCCGTCTTGTTTTCAACACGGCCCAACTTGTGCAGGTTCTGCCCGTTCTGCCGCGTTCCTGGCGACTTTTCCAAACGTCGCGAGCCCTTGTGATGGTTTCGCACGTTGCCAAGCATGCTAATGGACTTGAATTAAGTGAAGCGCATTTGTGTGTGTGTGTGTGTGTGTAAGAGAGAGAGTGTGTGTGTAAGGGAGCGAGAGAGAGCTGATGTCCATTCTGATTATTACTACCGTGCACTCACAGGACGCAACTTGGTGAGGCTCACGCGCGTTGCCTGTATAGGTACGGCACGTGGAATTCCGAATGTCCTACCTCCATACACTTTCATCTAGCCGATCCACGGGCTACGAGGCCGAGGTTCTGGAAGTGTATCGCGCCTTCCGGGAGCGCATCGCCTTCCGCAATCGATGTATCTGCCTTTTGAGTCCGGGCTGCGTTGGCGTCTGTCTGAGCTGTGAACGGGGATAAGTGACCCATACTGGCTCATTATAGGGAGCCGAACACGCCGCTCTCGGGGCCGCGCTACCGGAGGCGTTTCCAAGTCCCTTTAGAGTTTAACTATCCCCCAGGAGCTTGAGCTGTTCGGATTCGTATCCAGCGACACATTACCAAATCTGCGCGAAGTCTATAGACTCCGCCAGCAGCCCTGTAATAGTGCTCCCCGATTTAATGGTATAGGGCGGAACAACAAACGATGACTGTGGCAGTGGACTGCTGTTGTTGTGTGTGCTCGCGGCGGTGGTGCTGTGCACATGCAGTGCTGCTGCTTCAGCTGCTGATGGGGCGACAGAAACAAGCAATGCTCAGCGACCAAACATCATCATCGTGCTCACGGTGTGTGTGTGTGTATGTCGTGTTGTGTGTGTGTGTGTGTCGTTGTGTGTGTCGTTGTGTGTGTCGTTGTGTGTGTATGTATGTGTGTGCGTGTTGTGTGGCTGTTTTATTGGGGAAAACTCGCTGAAATCTTACACTGCTCCCAGCACTCAGAGATGGGGAAAGCAATTGCGGCAAGACAAAGGCCAGCGGTGTGCATGGGCGAATGTGTGTGAGAGCAGGCGCCACTCTGCGTTTCTTTGTCTTAGCGCTGTCGTCATTGACACCCGCAACATCGTGCACCGTGACAGGACGATCAAGATGCACTGCTTAACTCCACCATGTTTATGCCCAAGCTCAAACACCACGTGATCGAGCAGGGCATCACTTTTGCCTTTGGCCTCGCCAACTCGCCAGGTGTGTGTGTGTGTGTGTGTGTGTGCGCACTTGTGCGTGTGTGTGTGTGTGCGGTGTGTGCGCTTGTGCGTTTGTGGGAATCTTGCATGATGATTTTGCGATGGCACGGTTGTTGTTAGTTGAGATTGATTGGTCTCTACACAGCCACATCCTCACCCACTTTCACGCACATCCTTACACACATCCTCTTCCACACACATCCTCCCGCACATGCTTCCACATTCACACGTTCGCTGTTGCAGTGTGTTGCCCTTCGCGCAGCTCGTTGCTGTCAGGCCGGTACATCCACAATCACGGCGCCGTGAACAACTCCGTTGCCGGCAACTGCTACGGAGAGAAGTGGATCCAGGAAACAGAGAAGGACGCGCTGGCCGTGCACATGAACAAGGCTGGCTACCGCTCGCTGTACGGTGGAAAGTACCTCAACCTGTACTACGGACCCTCCAACCCTCCAGGCTGGACCGAGTGGTTTGGCCTCTACGGCAACAGCCGGTAAGGCGTGTTGACTTGGCGCCTGCAAGGATTGATGTGTGTGTGTGTGTGGGGGGGGGGGGAGCGGGGCGGTGGCGATGATTAAGGGAGCTTTGGCAGATGTGTGTGTGTGTGTGTGTCTGTGTTTGTATGTGTGAGGGAGAACGACAGCTGCCATTGTGGTTGTGGGTAAGATGGACACAAAAGGCGCGTGGCACAGCTTCTCCCTTCACGCTAAATTCGTTGCTCGTCTCAGGTACTACAACTACACCATCAAGGACAACGACAAGACAGTCAAGTTTGGCGACAAATACGAGTGAGTGCGTGCACGACAGGAACGGTGCTGGCCTTGCTTAGACGAAGCGGAGGCGGGACAAGGGGCATTCTATGCGATGACAATACTGCTGCTGGTGGTGGTGGTGGTGGTCTTTGTGGTCGACGTATCGACTTGTGCAAGGTCACACTACTTTACTGCCCAACAGACTCTCACCTCACAACTGCTGTTGACGACATACACATGTTCGTGCACACGTGCGCATCATGTACACTCATACACACACATACGCACTCACACGCACACACATACGCACTCACACGCACGCACGCACATACGCACACGCACACACACACGCTCACATACGCACACGCACACACACACACATACCACTCACACGCACACACACACACATACACACATACCACTCACACATACACACATACCACTCACGCGCGCACACACATACAATCACACACACACGCGCATGCTGATTTGCACACAGCACGGATTATCTGACCGATGTTCTTGCGCGCCGCGCCGTCCGATTCATCAACGAAAGCGCAGCCGCCGACGAGCCCTTCTTCCTCTGGTCTGCTCGCTTGTTTACACAATGTGTGCGTGAGACTGTGTGTGTGTGTGTGTGTGTGTGTGTGTGTGTGTGTGTGTGTGTGTGTGTGTGTGTGTGTGTGTGTGACACAGTGAGAGAGATACGTGTTGAGACAGAGATAGGGTGAGACAGATACATTGACACACACACACACACACACACACGGGGCTGCCATTGTGCTTTTCTCTTCATCCCTCGTCTCACTACCTTGCCCATATGTTTGATCACTGCTGCTGTTCGTTTATCCCCGCTGCTGCCCCTGCCCGTGATCGTGCCACCAGGCTTGGCACACCCTCTGCACACGCGTCGTTCACGCCGGCGCCACAGTACGAGAACACCGTCACGGGCATCAAGGCCCCGCGCACGCCAAACTACAACAAGGTGCGTTTGTGCATGTGCATGTGTGTGCGTGTGTGTGTGTGTGTGTGTGTGTGTGTGTGTGATATTGGTGTGCGTGCGTGTGATACGTGTGGATGATGTGCGGTGTGCTTGAATGAATACTTCATGTCGTGGACATGAACACGTGCACGTTTGTTCAGAATGTATTGAGACACGGCCATAACTGCCACGCCTTGAGCCATTATACATGATCAAACACATCCCATCTCATCCCATCCCATCACCACACCACAAGTACGCACGTGTATGTTAACCCCTTGCCCCCCCCCCTCGCTTGCATTCTCAGGTGTACGCTGACCGCCACCGCCCTGTTCGCGACCTCTCACCAATGACAGACGAGCAAATCAGGCAGAGCGACGAAATTTACCGCAAACGCCTTGGTGCGATGCAGAGAGAGAGAGAGAGAGAGAGAGAGAGCGAGAGAGAGAGAGAGAGAGAGAGAGAGAGAGAGAGAGAGAGAGAGAGAGAGAGAGAGAGAGAGAGAGAGAGGGTGTGTGGTGTGTGTGTGTGTTGTGTGTCGGGGGTTTGCCTGCGGTCTCTCCTGTGCTCTCCTTGTTGTGCGTGTTGCTTGTGCGGTTTGACGTCGCGCCCTCGCCAAACGAACGCAAGCTGGCGCCTTCTTCAACGCACAAACACACACACATACACGCATTCACATCCTTTCTCCTTACGCACGTGTGGTGTGTTGTGGTGTGTTGCGTGCACCAGAAACGCTGCGCTCCGTGGACGATCTCGTGGGCGACATCTTCGACACACTCGGTCCGCTTCCAGCTCAATCGCGGCGAAAGTGGCGGTGGTGGTGGTGGCGATGTCATGAAGACGTGGCTTTATTTGCGAACATTATGTGTGTGTGTGTAAGGTGTGTATCGCCGCCTCCCTTGCCTTGTTGCTCGTCTCCCTGTGCTGTTCTCACACCACCACTGCCATGTTCTCATGCCACACTCTGCAGCTGCAACGAATCAGCTCAGCAACACATGGTTCTTCTTCACGGGCGATCATGGCTTTCATCTCGGTGCGCACCCGTCGCTGTTTGTGTGTGTGCGTTTGCGTGTGTGTGTGCGTGCGTGTGTGTGTGTGTGTGTGTGTGTGTGTGTGTGTGTGTGTGTGTGTGTGTGTGTATGTGTGTGTGTGTGTTTGCATAGGTGTGCATCTGTGTGATACGTGTGTGTGTATGGCAATATGCGCGTGTGTTTCGCTTCACTGTCGGTGCGAGTCTTGAACGAGTTGCGTGCGTGCCGCCAACGTGCGTGAACGACCACATATGACCACATGCTTGATAGCTGTTCTCTCGCCTCACGACTGCCATGTACTTCCGTTGATGCTCGTTGCGTCAGGCCAATTTGCAA